CTTTCCTTTGCTATATAATGTATTTCTTTTTTTCTTTTTTTTTTACTTTTATTTAATAAATATAAATTCACAAAGTACAGTTTATGGATTACAATGGCTTTCTCCCCCCCATAACTTCCCTCCCACCCGCAACCCTCCCCTCTCTCGCTCCCTCTCCCATTCCATTCACATCAAGATTCATTTTCAATTATCTTTATATACGGAAGATCAATTTAGTATATATTTCAACAGTTTGCACTCACACAGAAACACAAAGTGTAAAATACTGTTTGAGTACTAGTTATAGCATTAATTCATAATGTACAACAAATTAAGGACAGAGATCCTACATGAGGAATAAGTGCACAGTGACTCCTATTGTTGACTTAACAATTGACACTCTTGTTTATAGCGTCAGTAATCACCCCAGGCTCTTGTCATGGGTTCCAAAGCTATGGAAGCCTTTTGAGTTTGCCAACTCCGATCTTACATATCAAAAAATCATATGCCATCGAACATTTTTAGTGATCAAATTATAACTCAATTTGGTCCCTCTGTAGAATTTTCCAAAGCAGCTGAAAATCACTATTATCAAGACTTAGGTCAGATTAAAGGTACTGAAAGAGACAATTACCAAAGAAGAAAGTGTTAAGAGACCAATCAGAACACTCTGAAGTAGATCAGTTTCAAGGAAGAAAATATGCAAGTCCAGACCTGAGAACTAATATTCTGAAAATGTTAACCAAATAACTCCCTGTCAAGCTTTCACTTACCTTCCAAGGTTTAGAATATCTGTTGCCCAGTTTGAATACTGATATTTTAAGATACACACACATGTGCAAACACACACTGTAAAAGGAGTCATGACTTTTAAAGAGTTTACAACCTTCTCCTCCTTCCCACCTCTGTGTACACCAGGGTGCTTGCCTACGTGTGTATATAAGAGACATAAAGAAAAAGATTATGTATGCTAGATACCAGAGTTTCCAGTTTTAGGGGTATCCTTGAACTCACTTTTTATTCTTGCCACTAAAATTATTCTCTTACCCTAAATAACTTAAACCTGTAGCGGTGATATGTGGGAAGAAAAGAGGAAGAAAATACCACTGATGAAATGACTCTGAATTTGATATTAATATGAAAAGACAGATATCTCTATTACAACTTAGTGGTTTTAATACCTTAAGCCTGTTCTGCTGACACTGAAAAAACTTATCTATACAGGATCTCAGCACAGTTCTCAAAATATAAACCCAAGAAACAGAAAGCATGACCTCTAAGATCAATATACAATTTAAATCACAAACACAAATTTACTTAAAATTTTTTCTGCAAAGATTGCAGTCTTAATATTTTCTCTAACTTTTTGTACTTGGCAGCTCAGAAACACTTAGCACTCACTTAAAAAAACAGCAATCTTCATTGTTTTCACGTGTTGTCTAATTAAACAAATAAAAATATTTAAATACAGAGAAGTAACTTGTCTCACAGGAGATGTGCCTGGGCCCACATTCTTTATTCAGATATTGTTGTGAAATCCATCCTACCCCATGGAAAAAAGAACCTAACCACGATCATTATTATTTCCTTCAGGACTTCTGCCCTTGATGAACATCTAGACCTTGGTGAGAAGGTGCAGGGAGGTAGGAAAAGGTGGAAGTGGAGCTCATGTGATATTTATCCCAATTTTTATTTACAGGAACTTTTAAACAGGACACTTTAAAAGGTGCCTGGTTTAACAGTGTTTAATTCAGTTCAAAATGGCCATTCTGTAACAACACACACACAAATGCTTCAAAGAGTTGATGGAAAAAATATATTATGAAAAAAAACTATGCATGATTTCAAAATTTTTACAGCAAAATAAACTTTTTAATTTCATTTTTGCATGAACATATATATTGGATTTATATAAGGGTAACTCAAACACACACACACACTTAATAGAGTTTACTGAGGAAAGAAAGGTTCATGAATCAGGCAGCACTCTAATCCAGTAGATTCACAGAACTCCACCCAATAACATGGCCAGACTGTGATATACAGAGAAATGAAGCAGCATACAGAAACAGCTTGACTGGTTACAGCTCAGCATTTGCCTTATTTGGACATGGTGTGATGAGGCATTTGCCTGAGAAGGACATGGTCTGGTCAGCTGGCACAACAGAACAGGCTGAAGCTTGGCGGCTGTGATTTGTTTAGACTCAACTTTATCTGCTACAAATATACACTTCAATTAGGTTACACTTCATTACTTAGGGAGGCGGCCTGAGGCCACATTTAATTTAATAGATATCTGCAGAAGAAATGTGCTTCCAGTACTACTGAATGGCATTCTTATGGTGTATAATGAACTATTTTCAGAAGCTAATGGAGGACATGGGCCCAGAAAAAGTCTATGGGCTTAGAAAAAAATGGAAGTAAAACAACAAAAAATGCTTTCTTTGAAATTCACATACTAGGTTAAGATTAACAGGAAATAATGCAAACTGCTTAGACAGGAGTGCTAACAAAATCCCACATTCCCAGACCCAGCTCCACAAGTCAACATACATGCTGCGATTTACAACAACTTTTAAAAGTAATTCTTTTCTGCTGGTTTGAAACGTGACTTTCAACATAAAGATAAAATTCCCCCAAATATATCTTATGTTAGGTAGGAAGATAAAAATTAGCCCAGGTGTGTGAAAGGGGCCTAAGGAAAACAAAGCACCTGAGGAAAGGAATATAGTGGACTCCGGCAGCCTCAGAAATGTGTCTTGGAAGCACACCTTGTAAGCAACCCAGTACTTTACGCTATAAAGTCTTGCCCATACCCCCAACGACTTTACAGGTGATCCCAGTCTTCCGATCAGTGAAGATACCCCAGGAGAATCCTCTCTTTTGGTGCCAAGAGGGCTACCTAGTCTGCTAAGATTGGTAATAAAACCTTGGGAAGAATTTTATGCACTTCACACCCAGCAAACTTCCAGAAGATGGTGGAAGGAAAGGAGAAACTGTGGAAAGAACCGGACTCCATGTCCTTATAAGCTCCAGCCTAAACACAAACCACACTCTCAGCTCTTTTCTGGGATGCCCACCTGGCCTGCAACCACACTTCACCTGTCCAAATGACTACGCACTCTCGCTCAGATCAGTCTGGGGAGGTGCCTATCCATCCTGACAGACGCCCCACCTCAACAAACCCCACTACTAGCTTACCACAACTCTGTCCTACATTTGAATTCTTTCCTGGGCAAGACAAGAACCTCTATTCCAGCTATCTTTGACAATGCTTATAGCAAGTATAATTTTTTTAAAGTAGTAAGTTGTTTTGAAAATTTCAAATTGTATTTGTGGTTGCAGAAAATTCAACAATGGTTTAAATCCACCCAAAATTGCCAAATCTGGCCTGGGAGAGAACTTTTCACATGTTACAATTTACAACTCTCTCTTAGAAAAAAAAGAAGCATTCCTTTAAAAAAAGGCCTATTCAGTCTTCAATAAATTTCAGTGGAATTAAGACTTGCTCAGGAGACCCAGCTACTTGGCAAAACAGTTGGCTAATGATCTAACAAGCCCCAAATTCTTCTGTTATTTAACCTAACAATGATTATCCACCTAGTCTCATTTTCCTATAACATGTCCCTACTAAGATTACATCTATTAATTGCATCATGGGAGATCTTTTCCTCAGCAGCAACATTATAGTAAAACAGTAACTCATGGTTATGACTAAAGTGTGTATCAAGTTTTTTCTATTTTATTTGCTAAAGCTAATTAAAGCAGATACATGTAAGTAAGAGGAAAGTGGCCACTTCTGGTAGATGCAATGAGATCTTGATTTATGTTTTGTCATAACCGCCACATCCAAAAGAAAAATAAAATAAAAGCTTTCTTTTTTAATTTTTTTTATTTGACAGGTAGAGTTATAGACAGTGAGAGGGAGAGACAGAGAGAAAGGTCTTCCTTCTATTGGTTCACCCCCACAAATGGCTGCTACAGCCAGTGCACTGCGCCGATCAGAAGCCAGGAGCCAGGTGCTTCCTCCTGGTTTCCCATGGTGCAGGGCCCAAGCACCTGGGCCATCCTCCACTGCCTTCCCAGGCCACAGCAGAGAGCTGGCCTGGAAGAGGAGCAGCCGGGACTAGAACCCTGCGACCATATGGGATGCCGGCGCCACAGGTGGAGGATTAACCAAGTGAGCTATGGCGCCGGTCTAAATAAAAGCTTTATTCTACTAAAATAATGTACGAATTTCATCAAGAAAATACTTTCGGTAGTGCAACTCATTTTTTCAAAAAGTTATAATCTTCAGGTGTGTACTTTAAATCAAAAATAGATCCTCTCACTGGATAAATTTTAAAACACCAACCTACATCCATTTTTATTTTTATTTACCTGAAAGGTAAAAACAGATTTCTCTACTTTTCAACAGTTCGCAAGTTATTCTGAACTGTGAATGAGAGTTCAAAAATTGAAAACATTTCTACACCTAAAAATTAAAAACTAGAATATTGCTTTATTTCTCATGATTTTGGATGTCTCAATCAATGTAACAGTACTGGGCAAAACGGAATGCTTAGTGGCTCGCTTTGACACGGAAAATTCACGCGGCCACATCGTACAGCGACTAAAAAAAGGTAAGGACTGATTCTTGCTCAAAATATTTAAAACACTGCTCACTCTCATCCCCCAGCTCAACAAATGGGTTCTCCTTTCTAAACGATTACGTTAATGTAGAGATTTTAACTTACTTTTTAAAATATGCAACTTTAGGTTGTGGTCTTTGCTCCTAACAGCTGTGAATTTTCACTCAACCCTAAACCAAAAAAAAAGCTCAACATTTAGGGATTCGATGATTGTTTGCAGCCCTTGTCTCTTGAGTTGAGGAAGTGTGTTTTTTTTTTCCCTTCATACTATTTGTTGAACTCTTAGTGTAGGGTGAACTTTATGATCATTAAGTAAACTTAAAATAGGTGTTTGTAAAAATTAAGAGTGGGAACGGGAGAGGGAGGAGGAAGAGGGACGGAGCGTGGGCAGGAGGGTGGGAAGTGTCACTACTACGTTCCTAACTCTATGGAATACACGAAACGTGCATAACTTAAATAAAATTTTTTTATAAAAAAGAGAGAGAGGCTCAACATTAAAACGTAGTTTCAAGCAAAACCATGTGTTGAATCCCTCCCGCTGGCTGAGCTGACAGTCGGGCGGCAAAGGTGTAGCTCCCCACACAGCGCACATTTAACTTAGAGACAGACCCCTCAAGTAACAAAACCCTGCTCCTTAGAGACCCCCAGGTAACAAAACCCTGCTACTCAGAGACCCCCAGGTAACAAAACCCTGCTACTCAGAGACTCCCCAGGTAACAAAATCTTGCTACTTAGACCCCCAGGTAACAAAGCCCTGCTACTCAGAGACCCCACAACGTAACAAAACCCTGCTACTCAGAGACCCCCAGGTAACAAAGCCCTGCTACTCAGAGACCCCCCCACATAACAAAACCCTGCTACTCAGAGACCCCCCCCCACGTAACAAAACCCTGCTACTCAGAGACCCCCAGGTAACAAAGCCCTGCTACTCAGAGACCCCCAGGTAACAAAACCCTGCTACTCAGAGACCCCCCAGGTAACAAAACCCTGCTACTCAGAGACCCCCCAGGTAACAAAACCTGCTATTCAGAGACCCCCAGGTAACAAAGCCCTGCTACTCAGAGACCCCCCCCACGTAACAAAACCCTGCTACTCAGAGACCCCCCCGCCACGTAACAAAACCCTGCTACTCAGAGACCCCCAGGTAACAAAGCCCTGCTACTCAGAGACCCCCAGGTAACAAAACCTGCTATTCAGAGACACCCAGGTAACAAAACCCTGCTACTTAGAGACCCCCAGGTAACAAAGCCCTGCTACTCAGAGACCTCCCCCATGTAACAAAACCCTGCTACTCAGAGACCCCCCCCACGTAACAAAACCCTGCTACTCAGAGACCCCCAGGTAACAAAGCCCTGCTACTCAGAGACCCCCCCCACATAACAAAACCCTGCTACTCAGAGACCCCCCCGCCACGTAACAAAACCCTGCTACTCAGAGACCCCCCCGCCACGTAACAAAGCCCTGCTACTCAGAGACCCCCAGGTAACAAAACCCTGCTACTCAGAGACCCCCACGTAACAAAGCCCTGCTACTCAGAGACCCCCCAGGTAACAAAACCTGCTATTCAGAGACCCCCCAGGTAACAAAACTCTGCTACTCAGAGACCCCCACGTAACAAAGCCCTGCTACTCAGAGACCCCCCAGGTAACAAAACCTGCTATTCAGAGACACCCAGGTAACAAAACCTGCTCCTTAGAGACCCCCAGGTAACAAACCCTGCTACTTAGAGACCCCCAGGTAACAAAACCCTGCTACTCAGAGACCCCCAGGTAACAAAACCTGCTCCTTAGAGACCCCCAGGTAACAAACCCTGCTACTTAGAGACCCCCAGGTAACAAATCCTGCTACTCAGAGACCCCCAGGTAACAAATCCTGCTCCTTAGAGACCCCCAGGTAACAAAGCCCTGCTACTTAGAGACCCCCAGGTAACAAAACCCTGCTACTCAGAGACCCCCAGGTAACAAATCCTGCTCCTTAGAGACCCCCACGTAACAAAGCCCTGCTACTTAGAGACCCCCAGGTAACAAATCCTGCTCCTTAGAGACCCCCAGGTAACAAAACCCTGCTACACGGTGTGGCAGGGCCCTCCGCGCTGCCGACGGGGTCCCCAGTGCCCCGTCCACCACGCGCGACGAGGAGCCGGAGCCGCACCCCGGCGAAGCGCCGGCGCGGAAACCCGGAGCCCCCAGCCGGACGCTCAGCTGGAGCGCCGCGCTAGAGGGCGCCCCTCAAGGAGGCCACGGGCCCAACCGCCCCGCCGGCGCAGAACGCTTACCCAACGCCCCGCCGCCGCCGCTTCCGCTTTCCGCGTCGCCGCGGCCCCGCCCCGCCGCGGAGGCTCACGGGACACGTAGTTTCCCCTCACGCCCCGCCCCTCGCGCCCGCTCGCTTCCTCCAGGAGCCGCCGCGCGAACGCCCTCCCAGCTCCCTCGGGCCCGACTTCCGGTTTCCTCCGACGGCCTTGGCGCCGAGCCCGCGGCCGCTAGAAGCCCATGGGTGGGCGTTAGCGGCTCGTCCGCCCCCCGAGTCCCCTTCCACAGCGCTTCCTCTCCGCGGCGTCTGAGGCGGCCGCTGGCCGCTGTGGCTCTGTGGCGAGGCCGGCGACGCCGACGGGCCGGGCTCGCGCGCGGGCTGCTGGGTAACGGGCCTGCGGCGGCGGCGGCGGCGGCGGCGGCTCGTCCTCCTTCCAGAAGCTCCGGTGTCCAGCCCTGGGCCGGGCCGGGCCGCGGTGGGCCTGTGGCGGCCGAAGCCGAAGAATGGGAGTGTCTGTGCGGTGCCCCTACGGCAGCGGCCCTCGCCGGGGAAGCGGCGGTGTCCTCGAGGAAACCGGAAGCCCGTGGTGACCCCTGGCGACCCGGTTTGTGTTCCGTCGGTTCCCGAACACCCGGGGAAACGAAACTCGGCGGCCCTAGGGGTGGCCCTGCTCTGCCTGGCTGCGGGGTGAGTGACTCGCTTGGGTCAGGCGGGGCCTGGGGGTGCGGGCAGCGCGGCGGCCGGGGCCGGTCCGGAGAGACGCGTGAGGTGCCCCCTTGGCCCGCTCCCGCGCCGCCGCCTCAGCCCGGCTGCCCCTGTCCCCCGCCTCCTCGCTTCCTGGCCGTTTTCTGATCGACTCGGACGCCTTCGGGTTTTTGTTTTTTTCCATTATTGATTCGCTGGGATGCCGTTTAGATAGGGACCTGTGGCTAGGGCGGCACTACCTGGGGCGTCCAGGAGCAGCGAACCGCGAAGCCCTCTGACGGACACTGGGCACTGGTCGGTTTTCCGGTGTGTCCAGGACGGGTCTTGTTTGTTGAGTGACTACTACGCGCACTGTAGGCTGACTCTCTCCGTCCCTACCCACGAGCAACTCCAGTACTCCCAAGTGCGGCAGCCCCACTCACAGCACCAATGCGTTGCTTCAGGATGCGTTGGGAATACGCGTTAGTAGTCCAGCCCACGGACCCGCTGGACCCTTGCTCCTTAGGCATTGGATGCACTTCAAGTTCTAGGTTAGGTTGAGTAGCATCTGAAGGCGTCGTTTAAATTACAGCTGTGTTGATTTGCGCCTCTGGAGATAGGAATGGCTGGCCCTCCAGGGTGGTTACAAAGGATGAATTCAGTATTTTTTGGTAAATGGCGAGCTGTGTGCAAATGCAAAGTTTTAACATGAAGGAGACGAGCTAGAGTAACAAGCAATGGCACCGGATGAGATCAGAACACCGGGTGCTGAATTGTCAGCTTACTCGGGTGGCGTTCGTTAAGACATTAAAACTCTTTCCCGTTTTTCCTGTCACCGAAAGGAGGCTACTGCATACTCCACAGGGCACCAAAGCAGAGTTGTCGAGTTATGCTGACCCGCATCAGCTGCCTGGTTTTCATTACTGGCCGCTGTCCTCCCTGCACACCCCAACCCCTTTCTAATTCTCCTCCCTTTCCCTGCCTGTGTAATTGGGAGGTTTTTTTTATGATTTATTTATTTGAAAGGCAGAGTTACAGAGAGGCAGAGGCAGAGAGAGAGATCTTCCATCTGCTGGTTCACTCCTCAAATGCCCGCAACAGCCAGAGCTGAGTGGTTTTGGAGCCAGGAGTTTATTCCAGGTCTCTGAAGAGTGTACAGGGGGCCCAAGGACTTTCTGCTTTCCCAGGCCATAGCAGAGAGCTGGATTGGAAGTGGAGCAGCCGGGACTCAAACTGGCACCCACGTGGGATACAGGCCCCAGGAGTCTTTTGAGATAAATGTCCAGTTGCATTAACATGTGTTACTTAAAGGAAGTAATGAAAGTCAGTAGACTGTTCTTCATACTTATGCTGTCTCTGACAGTCGCAGGATTCCCTGAAATTCAAAATGATTTCTGGACTAAATGGGTTAGGGGAGGTCAGATAAATGAAAGTGTAATGTTTCGTGCTGAGTACATTTGTGTGCTTATGGGGCATTTGCTTGCTCAGGAATATAGACTTAAGTAATAAGTGATAGTGTCTTAGAGTGGCACTTGCTCCCTTCTTTATAAGCTAGTTAGACAATTTCTGCCTCTAATTATTTAATTAAAAGTAGAGAAAGAGTATTAGTTCATTTGCCTATATAAGACTTAATCCTTGTTCCAAAATATCTTGACTGACCGTGGGAAGTAGTCACAAATATCCTAGCTTCTTAGAAGTAGAAAGTAATGGAAGTCTTAAATAAGATCCAATCAGGAAGCAGTGTGAAATAGAGGAAGGAACCTACTGTATGGACTTTGATTTCAATTCCAGCTACATGTCACACCCTGCCAGTGATTATAGACAGATTTGCCTTGCCTCTTGAAGCTTAGTTTCTTCATCTGTGGTGGTGGTAATACCTTTTCTAGTGAAATTAATGTGTGTGCTATATCTTTTCCTCAGCTCCTAGCACAAACATGAATTACCTCTTTAGGTTGCAGTTCAGTATTGGGATTGAAATTTTGCTTTCACAGTTTGAGAGTGGCATCTTAGTGATGTAGTCCAATCCTGTCATTTTCTAGGTGGGCAAATTTAGATTAGACAGGTGAAGTGAACTAATCAGTCATCAGGGTGGCAAGTTCTATACTAGAATCTTGGGACCTATTCTTCCTACCATAGATTTCTGCTTTGTCTGTATTCATATTAGGAAAATCAAAATTAATTTTGTGTGGCCTCTTGGAATGTTGTGTTAAGCACACAAGATGGGTTATCTTCACATCCCAGCTTTGCCACTGATCAGTTGTGTAGTTGTGGGTAAGGTGTTAACTTTTCTAAAACTTTGTTTATAAATTAAAATGATAGTTCTATAGGAAAATTCATGCAAAAGCATTAGTGCTTCGCATGTAGTAAATAAGTGAAATATGGCAGAATAAATATGCCTAGAAAAAAGATCAATGTGATATGAAAAGATTATTCTGTTTAGTGTCACAAACCCTAGTATATGCAGCAAAGAGGACCTGAGGGTGCTTTCGTTGTTGATTGCAATAATGCTGAAATTTAAAATCTGAAATAATTCTGAGTAATGCTCAAATATTATTTCTTCCCCTTATACTCAGGAATTACTGTTCTGTTTCCCACCCACCTTACCTGACAGCTGTGCCCTTCTTTATCCGTTATTCTTTGGAATTTCACTCTTCCGAACAATAATTGCTAACATTTTTTGCTTCAGTTTTTTAATTCTCTCTTAATTTGAGCTTAAATAAACTGCTAGAAAGAAACAAAATGTAGTTGTCAAATATATAAAATGCATGACTGTATAGCTATAAAGATACTGTATTTAATACTCCAATCCTATTGAGATGATAAATATATTACATTCTATAGTAATAAAACATAATCTTCCTGTAAGAGTTAGGTGGTGATTATTAGTTGTAATGTACTCAAAGAAATAACCATGCCTACAACATCTCTAAGAATACTAACTATAATTAGAATTCCATAAATAAGCCGTGTAGTAGCTATTTAGCTTTGTTCCCTGTGGATGCATGGTTCTCAAGTTGGAGTGACACTTAAAATCTCCTCTGGTGCTTATTGAAACTTTGACCTCAGATACTCTGATTTGTATAGATCTGCCATGGAGCCTAGCAGTCTGTATTTCTTTTTCATCTTTCTTGAAAGGCAGGAAGACAGAGAAAGCTCATCCATCTTCTTATTCACTGCCCAAGTGCCCAGAGACTGGGCCAGGCCAAAGCCAGGAGCACAGAACTCATTCTGGTCTCCCACATGGTTAGTAGGCACTCAATTAGTTGAGTCATCATCTGTTGGCTCCCAGTTTCTGCATTAGCAGGAAGCGAATTGTTAGTGGAATTTCCAGCAGTCAAACCTGGAACTCTATGGAATGTGGGCATCCTAAGAGGCATCTTACTGTTGTGCCATGTGTCCACCTTGCAATCAAATTTTTTTTAACAAAACTCTTAAGCAATTCTAGGGTGTTGGCCCATACTTCAGTTTATCAAACACTGCTGTAGGTCATCTCCAGCTTCTCGGAATGCTGTTGGGAAAACCAGATTCTTTTGTGACATGTTCCTGTGAAATAGATTTATTACTGATGATTGAGAGAATCTACTTACGCTTATATTTAGACAGTATCTTGGCATTAAGTTTTGGAAGCAAATGTTATGAATTCCTGTTAGACCTTTTAAAATATTATTTAGATTTGGTAACACTGATGTTTTATAACAGTGTTCTGCTCATGGCCCTCCTTAAACAAAAGTCTGCCATTTTAAGACAATTTAAATTATGGCAAATATGATAAGCTATAGTATCTGTTTTAAGATACAACATCTGAACTGACCGATTTCCTCAAGTTGCAAGTGTTAAAGCTAGCTTGAGGAGTAAGCGTTTAGTCTAGTGGTTAATATACTTGCATTCCATATTGGAGTATCTGAGTTTGGTTCCCAGCTCTGACTTCTGACTTGAACTTCTTGTCAATGCAGACCTGGAGAGGTGGCATAGATGGCTCAAGTTAGGAGACTACCCATATGAGAGACCTGTTTGTGTTCCTAGCTTGGGTCCTCTCCTCTGTCCTGGCCATTGTGGGTGCTGGGGAAGTGAACCAGCAGGTGGCCTCTCTTTCTCTCTCCTTCCCATTCCCCTTCTGCCCCTGTAAGTGATAACTAAAAAATAAAAACCAGCTTGATCTAGTTTAGGTATAATAATAGCCAGCTATATTTTTAGGTAAAAAATGTAAGTCATTTTTATGTAAAAAATGTACATCAGACTTTGGCCCAGCTGATTTGGATATCCACAGAGACATTTTATGACAACAAAGTATACGAAATAGAATAGGTGTTGTGAGACAGACTTACTGCAGCTCCTTTCTCTGTAGAAAGGATGCTTGCATAAGTAATAAAACCAAAGGCTATACATTGTATGCTTTTACTTTGCTGGCACTTTTCCTTTCAGTATATCAATCACTAGAATGGGGTATCTGTCTTGTATTATTTCTTGCTTTTCTAAGATCTCATTTTCCCTGGGCATTCAGCTTTTAATCTCCAGAGTTCTGGCTGGTACGGAATACTATGATAATCATTAATATCCTTGTGACTTGTGACTTCCTATTTATGTTTTTAAGGATAGAAATTAAAATCCCTATATTCATTTTACAACGAATTTATTTTTTAAATATTTATTTATTTATTTGAAAGTCAGTTACACAGAGAGAAGGAGAGGCAGAGAGCAAGAGGTCTTCCATCTGTTGGTTCACTTCCCAGATGGCCACAACAGCCAGAGCTGCGCCAGTCCGAAGCCAGGAGCTTCTTGGGGGTCTCCCATGCAGTTGCAGAGGCCCAAGGCCGTGGGCCATGTTCTGCTTTCCCAGGCCATAGCAGAGAGCTGGATCAGAAGTGGAGCAGGACCGGCGCCGCGGCTCACTAGGCTAATCCTCCGCCTTGCGGCGCTGGCACACCGGGTTCTAGTCCCGGTCGGGGCGCCGGATTCTGTCCCGGTTGCCCCTCTTCCAGGCCAGCTCTCTGCTGTGGCCAGGG